GACCATATCATTTTTGTAATCATCTGTCTATTTGAGAACGCCTTTTGATATGACTATTGCTCTTTTGTAATCACCTGACTATAGTGACCATACTTATGAATTTGATCACCTGTCCAATGTGACAATACGTATTTCGTGATCACCTGTGTATGTTGACCATACCCTTTTTAGATCAACTAAATAACCTGCATATGATGACCATACATTTTGTGTGATCACTTGCCTATGTTGATCTTATCTCTTGTGTTATCACCTGTATATAAGGACCATACATCTTGTGTGATCATCTGTCTATGATAACCATACCTCTTGTGTGATCACCTGTATATGAGGACCATACCTTTTGTTCATCTGTCTATTTAAGAAGACTTTTCGATTTAACCATAGCTTGATGTAATTACCTGTCTATGGACCATATCATTTTTGTAATCATCTGTCTATTTGAGAACGCCTTTTGATATGACTATTGCTCTTTTGTAATCACCTGACTATAGTGACCATACTTATGAATTTGATCACCTGTCCAATGTGACAATACGTATTTCGTGATCACCTGTGTATGTTGACCATACCCTTTTTAGATCAACTAAATAACCTGTATATGATGACCATACATTTTGTGTTATCACATGTCTATTTGAGAAAGATTTCCTATGTGATAATAGCTCTGTTGTGATCACTTATCTATGCTTACCATACATGTTGCTAGGGTAACATGGCCACCCCTGACTAACAAATATTTCTTTTCAGTGTGAGATAACTGAGACCACCAATTAACTAATCACCTGTGGTCACCTTGGGACTATACCTGATCTTGAGTCAATGATTAGGTAATCATTGTATGTCCAATGACAATGACAATGGTGTTATTCTCATAAACAAGATAGTGTAGAGAATACATATATACAAATGGGTGACAATAATACATGGTGGAACAGGACGGTCATTAGTACTGTAAATTAGTTATGTCATTAATATCGGTAATAGATTTAGTCAATGATGTCAATTCATTTTGTGTTACATAATTGAAAAGTGGATGAAATTTAAATATGTTTGGTCTTTCAAAATAATATCTGGACATATATTTTGGTCTACTATTGAGCATTGGTTTTTGTGTACAGTTAAACAGATAATGGAATTCGTCGCCAATTTCTCTTAAATTACATATACATGTACATGTATTACAAAATCTTTTCCCCCGTTGTGTATTGGACCACCTGCCACGTAGTAACGTTGTATTACACAATACGCTTTGGCTAGTTTCTACGGCAGCCCTGGAGGGACATATATTTATTTTTACTTATTTGTTATTCCTTATTTGTAATTATTTAGTTGTTATAATACTTATTTGTTATTTGATGATTACGACAAAACGTGGTAAGGCTGACCGGCAAAATAGACGGCTTCAGCTCTAACGAACATGCAACATAATTAAATTGTTACTGTTGGTAAAGCTAGCATTAATCGACACGCTCAATTTATCAAAAGTGACTATTTTATATTATAACTGAACAGAGGTTGCCTGCTTAATTAGCAATAACAAACAAGGAACAACCAATAAGTAATAACAAATTAGTAATAACAAATATGATTTAACAAATAACAAATAAAAAATAAGAAATACAAATTGGACTTTTGATAGTTTCAAGACAATTGAATACTCGATGAGTCGATGGTACTCTACAACGGAGCATAAACACAAAAGGATACTTGATAAGAAATATCAATAACAATATTAATAATA